GGCTTTAGTGGTTGGTGTGTAAATTTGAATAATAGTGGTGTTAACTGGGCTTCCCTATAGGCGCATGGGTATTATCCTATCACAGACAGCATTGTACCACATGACTGATCTGGATATGTTCTTTTTGACGATGAGTGCAACACCATTCCTCTTCAATTTGTCATTCCTGGCATAGTAAACTATGTGGTTGTCAGATTCAAAATGGCCAATACCAACCTATTTCAGCTCACTAATGCCTAAGATATCCATGTTCATGCATTCCATTTCATTTTTGACAACTTCCAATTTTCCCAGATTCATACTTTGTACATTCCATGTTCTGATTTTCAATGGATGTTTACAGCTGTTTCTCTTCATTTTGAGTTGTGCCCCACCAGCAAATGAAGGTACCTCACTCAGGCTTTTCCCCCACGGGTTTTACTCCATTCGCGTTATCCACGGTCAACTCTACTTTGAAGAGGCAGCTCTTCCCCAGTCGCATTTTGAGTGCCTTCCAACTTGAGGGGTCATTTTCCAGAGCTATATATGACAGTGTTTCTCTGCTATTCATAAGGTTCGTCACTCTTTCTTCCTAGTCTATCTTTGTCTGTAAGCTCCTCTGAAACCTGTCCACCATGGGTGACCTTGCTGTTATTTAAAATACCGGCGGCCTAGCTTCAGAATCCCAGCAACTCACAAGCCACCACAGTAAAACAAGACAAACTGACAGACAAGTGGTGGCTGTTTTTAAGTTAAAACCTGATATTTGAAGACTAATTAACAACCTGCAACATGCAGATACCACAGTCACCTTGCTGAATCTAAGAGGACTTAAAATACTAATGAAGATGAAATACTACAGTCTTCAGTATGGACTGTATCTCAATGTAAAGAAAATAAAATCCTCATAACTGGACCAATAAATAACACAAAAAATGAATTAAAGACTGAAGTTTTCTAAGACTTCATGTTGTTTCCATCTACAATCAGTACTCACTGAAGCAACAGTCAAGAAACAAAGGATGGATTATATTACTCAAATCTGATGTTAAAGACCTCTTTAAAATGTAAAGATCAATGTTTGAGAACTAAAGTGTGCCTTGATCCAAGCCATGATATTTCCAATAGCCTCACATGCATGTGAAAGTTGGAAAATAAATAAGGAAGACCTTTGAAAAATCAATGCATCTGAACTGGAGAAGAGCATTAAAAGTACCATAGACAGGCAGAGAACAAACAAATCTATATTGAAAGTACAGCTAAAATGCTCCTTAGAAGCTTAAATGGCAAATCTATCCTCCCCAGACATGTTACCAGGAGGGATCAGTTCCAGTAGAAGGACATCATGCTTGATAAGGTGGTGTTGTTTTAAAGTAAATTTTGACTCATAGCGACCCTGTATAGGATTTTTGAGGAATGGCTGGTAAGGCTGAAGTGTTGCTGTTGTTGTTAAGTACCACAGAGTTGATTCTGACTCACAGTGACCCTGTACAGGGTTTCCGAGGCTGTAAATGTCTATGGGAGCAGAAAGCCTTATCTTTCTCCTGTGGAACAGCTGGTAGTTTCAAACTTCCGACCTTGAGGTTAGCAGCCCAATTCATAACCACTACGCTACCAGAGGTTGAAGTGTAGGGTCATGGAAAAGGAGGACCGCATCCCCCCACCCCCCAATGAAATGGATGTCACAATGGATCACGCAATGGGCTCAGACATGACAACTGTGAGGATGGAACAGAACTCGGCAGTGTTTTTGTTCTGTTGTGCACACGGTCACTAAGAATTAGAATTAACACAAAGGCACCTAACAACATCATCTAACCTGGGAGGGCAGAACCAACTGTTCCCGCTTCAGGACACTGCAATCAGTATACCTAAGTCAGAACGGTATCTCAATTCTTCTCTGACAACTGTCTCAGTGGTTGACTTACCTGAGTAACTATAGTTGTGGTTCCATCTGTAGCTTCCACTGTAAGGTTATAATTTGATTTTTGTTCTGCATCAAGAGGTTTGGCAACAATGATGGTTCCAGTGCCCTTATCCACATCAAAGTGACTGTCATAGTTGCCACCTAGTTTAAATGACAAATAGAAGAGTGAAAGCAAGTCACAGGCAGAGCATTGGTCATCTGTTTGTTGCTTTCTAATTCATAATGTCAGTGAAAGAAAACGTAATAAATTTATAAAATGACTCCAAGGAGCCAGCATTTTGAAAGACAAGAAGAGTGGCCAAGTAGAAAGGTAATGCTTATTACACTAGAAAGCAAAGTGGAGCCATACTTTCAGGATGTTATTAATTGACAGAAAAGGAAAAAAAGCAACTCTGAACACAGAAGAAAATTACTAATATAGTCAATGAATCAGTTTCAATGTCCTTTTGAAGGTTTCCGAGTATCTTTTTAATTTATAGCTCAGAAGTTACATTGAAACATCAGTTAACAACCAATGTTAGCCACTTAAAAGTTTAATTATTCAAAAAAATATTTATCACACTTTGAGCATACTACACTGACAAAATAACTAATCAAGACAAATGTTAATTCTGAAAAAAACAAAAACAATGGCAGTTACCTTCAATTAGTGCTGGCTCTTATAAACAATTAAAATAAAAATTAGGGGAGTTGTTGTCAAACTCTCAAATATTAATACTAACACCAAAATGCATCTCATATTACATCCTAGAGATTTATCATTCAAACTTAAATATATAATCTGGGGTGCTTTGCATTTTAAATTCATTAAGCTTGAGATACTTATAACCATGAAATGAAGTGGAATGAAAATAATGACTTATTGTCATGATGAAGATCTATTACTAAATCTAACCAAAAGCAAACACACATAAAATCGTAAATCAAACCTAAAATTAAGAATGTAAGTATGTATTAAAGGTCAACATATTTACAACTAAAATGGGACACCATGAACACACTATGTGGGGGGGGGGGAGCATCACTAGAAATTAAAAGGTTCTGGAAAACAATGCTTTAATTTTTAGATCTCATAATATGAAGACAAATTATGTGATCTCAGCAGATACCTTCTGCTGTACAGTTCAGGTCACAAGTCATCTGAAAGATGTAAAACACTTCTCTAGCAAGTGTATCTCCTGGCACAGCCAAAAAGAAGCAAGCAAGCATGGAAGAAAAGCACAGAACAAGGAAGAACAATCAATCAAACCAATTCCCAATGTAGTTAAGCAATAATAACCCAGAGAAAGGTGACAAAAGTTAACTGAAGAGAATGAACTATTCGCATTATAGCTAACTATGGAAAGAAACCCACTCTTTTCTTAAAATTAAACTGCATAGGTTTCAGGAAGAATGCATATCCAACAATACAATAACCAAAACGGAAAAACAACAACAAATATTTAGTGTTCAGGTGGTACAGTCTGTACCAAATGGACCTGGTAGACACTGCCAATAATGTCCCTTCTGCCTCAAATTGCTGAAAGGGATGTGGAAGTCAGCTGGATAAGTGTGTGATGGGAAAGAGATAAAAAGTTCCAACTAGAGCTGAATCCCCCAGCAAGTACTTTTGATCTTAAGGATCTTTATAATTAGAACATTATAATAAAAAATTAGAACACTCATTAAAAAACAAAACAAAACCCAAGGTCAAAGGTTCAAGCCAATCACTTGTTCCTTGGTAGAAAAACGAAGCTTTCTGCTTCTACAAAGATTTAAAGCCTTGGAAACCCTACATAAAGTTGCTGAGTCTGAACCAACTTTACGGCACTTAACAACAAACAGTAAAAAAAAAAAAATCAAAAAAGTAGAGTTCGCTCTGGCATGTAAACCTTACTACAAAATGATCTAATCTAATGAGACCTACCTACACTTCCTACTAAACTAAGGTTAACAAAACAAAACAAAAAATGTATAATTATACAAACCAAAGTTTGCAAGCTTATTTTCTATAAAATACTGACATGTAACAGTAACTGAGGCAGCTATTTTAAACTAATTCAATCATGTTCAATAAAAATAATAACATGCCATATGTTACGTATCAGAAAATAAGCTAAGAAGCTGTGCTTTTTAGACCAAAAGGTTTAGGATTTTCTCTACTTGTTACATTTTAAAAGAAAACTTAATTTTTATATTAATAATATTGTTGTTATGTGCCATGGAGTCGGTTCTGACTCATAGCGACGCTGTAGGACAGGGTTTCCGAGGCTTTAAATTTTTACAGGAGCAGAAAGCCTCATCTTTCTCCCACAGAACAGCTGGTAGTTTTACAGTATTGACCGTGACCACTACGCTACCAGGGCTCCTTAATCATACTGTAGGTATATTCACATAAAAATTTATTTTTATATTAATAATATAGAATACCAATTTAAAACATACTTAAATATATGCTGCATTTTATGACCATTTTTTCAATGAAACGATTGCAATTTAAAGTACATTTTCCATCTACAGGTTTTACTACCAGTATTAAAGTCTGAGATGTACACATGATTCAACAACAACAAAATACAAACAAGTTCTCTAGAGCTTAACCTGTACAAGGATAATAGAAACTTTAAAGAATAGCTTACCAATGATGTCAAACCAAAGCGGTGTGCCAAGGGGTTCAACAGATATCACTCCAATCATGTGAGCAACTGGATCACTTTCCATTACAGTAAAGGTGAAAAACGATTCTTCAAATAAAATTGGCTCCAGGGATGGTTTGGGTTTGGAGATCCATTCAATATGAAGGCGAGTGGTTGATGACTTTTGAGGGCGACCATTATCAACTGCTTTTATCTATAAAAGATGAGTGAAGGAAATAAAAACTGTTATTTTAAAGTTACAACCTTTAGCAAACCACAAGTTATAACCCGCAACTAAAGGAAAGGTTGATTCAGTCTTAAATGAAGTATCTGAGCCATTTTCAAATATTTTTGTCTGTATACAGCATGTTTAATGTTTAATTAAAAAGAGTAACATCCTCATGACCACCTTTATTATACACAATAAATGTAGATGTTGTGGGGGTGGAGAAACATCCTTATCAAACATTATCAAGTACTGCCTAATTTTTATCACAGACAATAAGGTTATGTACTAAATAGACAGCTATAGGTTCATAAGTCAAAGCATATAAGGAATTCAAAGAATAAGATCTTAGCTTACTGTAAGAATGTCATATTCTCCAGCTCCAGAAAATTTCTTTGATGAAACCACTCCAGTTTTTGGTTCAATGAAAAACTTGCCATTCTCATTTCCCTCTTCAATGCTGTAGGAGATTTCTGCATTGGGACCTTCATCTTTGTCTGTAGCTATCACACGATATAGAGGTTCTCGCTTGGCAGTTCTTTCTCGTTCTGGTTTTTCCCGCTCTGGGAGTCCAATTTTGTAGAACTTTTGCAGGAACTGAGGTTTGTTGTCATTTTCATCAAGGATTTTCACAATTACTCTTGCAATTGTTGATTTGGAAGGACTACCGTTATCTGTCACAGTTACCTGTGTTGCAAGGCAAAAGATCAATAAATGTTAAAACACACTATTGTTGTTAAGTGCCATCAAGTCAGTTCTGACTCATAGCAACCCTGTATAAGGTTTCCAAGAAGCAACTGGTGAGGTGGGCTTCTTAGCCATTCAGTGCTGATCCTACGGTGCCAATCAGGACTCCACTTACATATACACTGTAAAAAAAAGTTTTTTTAATTTAATATAACTAATGTCACTGAATTATTTGTGTAGA